CACATATAAAAATTGAGAAAGTGATCAGAAGAGTAGGCATTTTTTTTAAGGTGTTTAAAATTAGGATCCTGAAAGTGCATTCCCATTGTCTCCTTGCATTTATCTCCAGGTTTTCTAACTGTAAGGAAAAGGATTCTTCTTGCTGTCGTAACACTTCTAATGGTTAGAAAGAAGGGGCTATTTTACAAAAGAAGGTTGCTGTGCTGAAGTAAAAATCTTCATAAGATTGGGAAATTGTGTGGTCAGTCAATGGTGTGGTATTTTAAGTAGTAGACTTTTTCCCAGAAATGATTTTGAAATTTGAATCTGAGTGTTTGTAATTCTGTCGGAATTGGAAGGCTGAGGACTGTAAATTTTCACTTGTTAAATAGCTAGCTTAACCAGTCGCCAGTGAACAGGCTGAAAGGTTAGAGGCAGTGGTTCACCGAACTCCATAGGAGACTCTGTGGGGCACGTTTCCAGTGTTACTGAGCTGTCTGGCTGACCTTTTCATCTTTTTTTTTTTCTCTTCTTTCAGCAGTGGAGGGTGTTTTCCATTCATGCACAGTCACTGGCTGAAGAAGCCCTACACTCTTCAGTCCTCACAAGGTAGAAACAGAAAGCAGTAACGCAACCTCCTTACCTGTTGGCTCATGTCAGGACACAGTTGTGTGTGGAGAGGTGTAATGTTTTTTGTGACTCTTAGTGCCTTAATGGTAATGAAAGTACCTCTGGTAACAAAAATATTTTGTTCCGTTAGTTGGTGGTGGAAATAGGAGCTCCTCTTAAAATACTGAGTATTTTATTAAATACTATGTATTTTAATAAGATGACTTTAAAATATCACGTAGCAACATTCTCACTGTTGAGTGTTCTGCTGGAAGATAATAAACTCATGATTGGCATTGAACCTCTTAAGTGGAAGCTATGCTTGGCTGGTAATGATGTCCAGTTTCTAACAAAAGCAACCACAACAGAGGTAACTTGTCCTTACCTACTTAGACTGAGGACTTGGCAGGTCTCCTGGACTAAACAGGGTAAATCTAATCTGTACTTTAATGGCAAATCTCCAATGAAAAGTTGAAGAAGTACAATTGCTCATTCAATACAAGGCACTATTTCTAATAAGTCTGCCTGGACTTGTGACCCCAGCCTGTTTCCAGGCTCAGTTCAGCAGTGCGAGATGGTTTCTTTCAAGTGTGGCACCTAGCAGACCAAAGGGAGATACTCTAACCTTCTTCTTCGTAATGTTTGTGATTTGTAACATATGGGATCATTAAGATCATGACTATTATGACATTCTGTGCACACATATATGAATCAGAGTGTGAGACTCAGCTGATTCTGTCCATGCACAAATGTGATTACTCATCAGAAAGTCACACAGCGGTTTCACTGTGTACCTCCTTTGTCTGCCTGTGTGTGCTCTCCAAATCGCACTCAGGCTTAACTGTTGCCTCAGACACCTATTTGCGGCTCTCTGAATACGTTGGACCATTTCAAAGCATAGCAGAATGGAGTGTAAGCACGTCTTTCAGGTTGGTGAAGGAGACTTTGGGGAGAAGTCAATACATTCTTTAGATATGACACTGGAATTGAGTGGTGTCAACATTCAGGGCTTCAAGGTGAATGTCCGTAGGATTGGGGACTGCTCAAAACATAGGTTCTTGTTTGAATGGCACTATCCACTGCCAGAGTATTGGTGACCAAAGTTTTACTCTGGGAAAAATAAAAGAAATGGTAGCACTTTCCAGTAAGGGCATGTGATTGAAGGTTTGAAGATAGATGTATGTATTCAGAGGAGTTCTCCAAGTCTTAACTTTTTTCTTTGAAACTGGAGCTCAGTAAGGGCCAGCTTTTTTCCTCTTGTTAGCAACTTGTAGCTTGTTTGAGCCAGTGAGAATTTAAGAGCACTCTGCACACCTGCAGAGTGAGGTTCAAACTGTACTATGGTAGGTGCACAAAGTTGAATCTTGGCTGTTTGATAATAGGAGTACCTATACCGATGGAAGAATTTTGCAGTAAGTGAAGCTGCAGAAGTGTGACAGGGATTTTTATGTCAAATTTAGTGCTTAGCTAACAGCTCTTGGCTTGTAGTCATGGGAGAACCAAATCTCTGTGTTGGCTCTGCAGGCTTGCAGAAATGAAGACTAATTTTCGGTTAATTCCAAAATAAGCATTCTGTACATGCATATGGCTTCGTCTCAGAGGAAGTGTGCTTATTCAAGATAGTATTTAAATATGTATTTAAGCAAATGTTTAACTATCAGTGAAGTCATGGAACTAAGAATACGCTTAATTCCCATGCTTAGAGCAAGGCAGAGAGGAACATTTACTTGGGTAGGACTCTGCACCTTTGAACTGATGTCTTGAACAGTATAACAGGGTATTTAGGATATTGTTAGTATTGAACAGTTATTGAAAGACACGTCAGAAATGGAAATCTAAGTTCAGAGACATAGCTTGAGTTAAACATAGAGTATGAAGAAGATTTACAGTCTTACAGCGAACAGTGCTGTGGAGTTCCTGGTTAAAGAGGAGGCCAAGAAAGCTGAAAGATAAAAAAAAAAGCAGTTGCATTATTCTTGTTGTTCATTTTTCTTTTGATTTTTGGAGCCTTTAAAGTTAGTTTCCTTTGAAGGAGAGCAATATGAAATATGGTGTGCTTAGGTCTTTTTTTCTTTTGAAAAAGATCCTGAAGCACAGTAGCTTTTCTTTAAAATGTGGTATATAAATAATAAAAGATGTGATGGCACAGTGCAAAGATTATCTTGGCACAGGTCTGGGATGACTGCATTGCTTACAGAGCTTTTGACACTTGTGAATGATGTGATCATTGCAAAAGTGTGCCAATGAAAACTTCATACCCCGCCAGCACGTGTGCGTGTAGAAGTTTGTTAGTGTGTTTTGTGTCAGCTCATTGTCTAGTACCGGATCGAGGAAAAGCTTCAGCGTTGTACCATGTTGTTGGTGTGTCTTATGCCTGGTTGCCAGCAGAGCATCAGTGGACAAGTGGGGCTGTGGGCTTTGTGACGCAGTGAAAACGAAGTAAAAGCAGTGTTAAGAAGGAAAGGTCTCGCATCCTGTTCTTTATCCCTCCTGATTCATGGCTGCCCACTCCTTTCATTTGCCTTGAACCAGTTTTGATGTTCATCCTATCACAAGGATGAACTCACTCACTGAAGTGGAAGATAAGTACCTGGCAAGAAGAAAGGAAAAAGTGGCTTTTTGCTTCTTTGTTACTAAATTGAATCTTACCATGTAATCAGGACAGCCAGCAGTGTCTGCAAGGTGTTATGTGTGCCAGGCCCTTTCCCGCTGCATTTGGGTACTTATGGGTGCACACAGCAGCTCTGGGGGAACAGCAGCGGGGTGTGCTGCGTTACTTGGGTGTTTGCTGTTGGCAGTATTGCAAGTGGTACCTAAGGAAGCTGATCATAGGTGTAAGACCAAACAAGGCTGTTACAGACCATACCTGTGTTCACCACAGTGGCTGTAAATGCCCAATCCCAGAAGGTGCAACCTATGGTTAAGCTGGGCAGGGTGGTAGTAGCCAACTGAAGTCTGTTCAGAGCTTGCAGTCAGTAGCAGAAGAGCATAAGGGACATCACTGTGGGGCTCTGAAGGTGTTGAACTCCTGTTGCATAGATGAAGATTTGACTTACAAATTTTTCAATTTAGTCCTGTTGATACAGTCTGTAAAGCTCTCGGGCACCACTGTGCCTGTTTATAAGCACAGAGATGGGTGGGCTGAGTGAGCAGGGAGGACGAGTTGTGGTCTTGGTGCAGGTCGCAGACTCAATCACATTGCTGGCAACTCATGTCACACAGCCTGAAGGTGCAGCACCCACAGCACCACCACTGCTGTTACGACTCCGTGGGATCTTCAAATAGAAATGGGGAGTGGGTTGTATAATGCTACTGAAGGTGTTAGAAAGCAGGAGGAAGCCATGATCAGCAGGGGGGAGGAGCAGTGGAGGCAAGAGCAGAGAAATTCCTCTTCCTTTTAGTGATGGCAAGCTGTTAATTTATTCCAGTAGCATCATGAAACCGCATCCACAGAGTACCATGTAGGGTTCCTTTCTCCCTTCCTCCTGTGTCAAATACAGCTGAAGACAGGTCATTAATTTCAAAGAGAGTTTGTTTGGAGTGGAGTCTGTTCTCAGTGCAAGTAGAAAGATCATTTTGGTTATTTAATAAAAAAGAAAGTAATCTCTGAAGTTTTTGTCAGTCTGCAAAGTCAGAACCAATTGTAATTGCGGAAACTGCAGCTGCCTAGAGATCCAAAGCATTGGGAGATAATTGTGTTTATACCTATGCTCTTCTCTCTGTGGTGTTCGCACTGTTTGCCTTAATGCTTTCTGTTATTAGAAAAAAGTATATGTTCAGAGGTGCAAGAAACTGTTCATCTCTTGCAAGCAAGACCATTGCTCATGCTGTCAGAGGAGAGCACTTTGTGTGTACTACAGTCTACTTTTCAGAATCTTGTGATCCTGAAAAACACTGAAAAATCCTCTTGTGTAGAGACAGATAGCCCTGTGAAATTTAGTACTCTTGTGCTTCAGATCGATGGGGATGTATCCCTGCAGCACCTTTCTCCCTGGCTCTGTGTTTCAGCCAAAGGAAGAAAGTGTATAAGTTGTGTGGAAATGACTAGGAAAATAGCTTTCCTATTTGACTATGAAGAAAATGATGCTTTTGTAAGGAGCATCAAATTGTTCATTGAACCATGAAGCTCTTCAAAACAGTAGTTTCATTTCAGGTGGCTGTATGTATTAACATACTGTTGTTTAGTATTTCATCTTTTTAACAATATCCCTTTTCCTGCACTTCTTGCAATTATCACTTTCAGCTTCTGCAGGTCGTTCAGAATTTTCTGAGTGTTGAATTTGCTGAACGTCAGTGTAGAGGGTTGCCTGGATGCTGCTCCTGGAGGATTCCAGTCCTCACCTGGGCTGCTCTCTGCCTTCCAGTAACCATCAAAATTCATTTCCCTTCTCCCTGTCCTTGTCTGTTTGCAGGTTATCTTGACGAATCAGATTACCACATCATTGAGCAATGGCCTTGCGATCCAGGCAGACCTGGTGTCTCCAGCTGATGATTTGCCCCTGTCTGAAGGTAAGAGATCCTTTCTGTTGGAACTGAAACCCTATACTGACACAAATCCATGTTGTAACTTGCAGTCTTCTGTTGATATACAGGTGTCTGTGAGGGTCGAGTTATCAAGTCTAACATAAAACAAACAAAATTATTCTTCAGTTTCTCTGAAAATCCATTTATAAATAAAAAGAAAGTAAGTGTATTAACTAAAAGGATCTGACACTTTCGAAGGACTGGGAATGAATTTTCAAGCCATGTCAATTCTGTAACATGTTCCTCATCATTGCACTTTCGTTCACATGCATTTAGAGCATTATTTTCTCAGTCTTCTGAAGCTGCTATTAGAGTTAATACACAGACTAGGCTACAAATTTGGTCTTATCGAATGATTATCAGTGATTCCAAAGAGAAACAGCCTGTCACAAATGAAGGAGAGCAAATAATCAGCCCTGTCCCTTGCATTAGGCCTATCTGGTTTTCAAGTACAGTGCCTCAAACTGCAGCTCTCAATATTATGTGAATGTAATATGACATTTTGTGTGATGCCATATACTACTTTATGTCTTCATGTTACTTTTTTCTGCACAGAATTAGAGACAAGCACACATTTTTGGGGTAATAGAGAGGACTTTCTGTGCTAAGAAGAAAAGATAATTCTGAATCAAGGTTTGCAGAGTAATACAATAATTTCAGCTTTCCTCACTGGCAAAGAGTAGTCAGAGTAACCTCAGTCAGGGACAGATGCAGAGAAGTTTGCTATTTAGAGTTCAGTTCATGCATAGACCCAAATGTATCATGTAAAGCAATGCTCATCTTTCCTGCAAAGGCATGATAATCATATGTAGACTTCCTGCTTTGTATGATATGGGTATTTCCCCTCTTTCTCTCCTTATTGCACTGTCTGGTGGTTCTGGTCAGCTTCTCTTTGTTCTGGTTGATCACAAGCAGCTCTCTCAAGCTGTCTGACTTTACACAAGGACAGCTTGGTGGCAAAACCAACTAAGCGGTGGTTAAAACTGGCGTTATTTCTGCAACTCATCTCAATGGACAAGAGAAAGAGGCTGAAGGTAGATTAAGCAGAATGTCAAAGAGTAGCAAATAACTTCAGTGCAATGCCTTAACACTGATTGATGTGTTTACTTCATAATTTTGTCAATAGGAGCTTGAGCAAAGCACATCCCATTAAATCATTTTGGAATTGTACTTGTGGGTTTTGTTAACTCCATCCATTGCCAAAGTATCTCTGAAGTTCATTGCTTGAATATCGCTCCCTACGTCTGTCAGAAAGAGTTGAAATTTGGTAACTGTATTTGGAAGAGGAAGACATCATTTTTCATCTTTATGATTTCCTTCTTGGCACGAAGTTATTGCACATTGTCTCATAAATGCTCTTGATCGCAGTACTTGTGCTTTTCTTTGTCGTTTGGAATTGCTCCGTATGAGCTTCCTCTGGAAAGAAAGGCGTAGCTGACTCTGAAGTGGAAGTAATAACAAAATATGTTCTCTGTAAAACATATTTTGCCCTAGTGGTTAAAATATTTCAAGAGTCTTTGGAAAAAGCATGGGATAGTTGTAATCTTTCTAATTTTGCCTGCAAATATGAAAGATTCTCAGTGATGTCTATAAGCCATAGTTCAACAGTACTCTGAAATCAGGACCATGTAAGAGATGGTATGATGATTTTTGTAGCAGTTACAGCTTATTAATGAAGATATCATGTTGTGTCGAAACTCTGTACCACCATTATTTTTCAACTTTTAAACCAAGAATGAGTTAAAACTTATTGGTGTGCTGTGTGTGTGTTGGTTTCCTTTGTTTCTCTCATTCCTCGTTTTTAATCGATAATTACCACTGAGGTGATAAAACGTGCTAGCATGACACTTGTTGAAAATGGAAACTCTGTTTAGCTTTAGAAAAAGAGTAGCACAGGTAAGAGCAATGCAGACTCCTTCGGTAATTCAGGTTTTATCAAGGGATGCAGAGGTGATTGATAAACTTTTTTCTTCTCTCCATTCCCTCTTCTGTAGACTAATAAGGTTTTCTCCTTCTGTCTTTCTTATCCATAATATGGCCTGTGCTGTCTATCTGTAAGAAAAAGCAGAATTTCTGACCTGAACAGCGTTTGATTTCCATGTTTATCTTGCTATCATAAGATACAGGTGTGGCCAGTGTTTTTCTTTTCTAACATCGAGGTTTTGAGCTTTCCTGCGAAATTCCCTCCTAATTCATTTCACGTTAGCTGTTGAACAGCCTGAAAATAGCAATACCTTAATCTCCTGTAAATCTTGGGTGCTTTAAGAATCCTCAATTAATTAGTCTTCTAGGACTAGTGTGATGCTCATAATACTTAACTGCTATTTTAGAACTGTAGAATTCGCAGGAAAGAGTAGTTATGTGACTAGCCCAAGTGCACAAAGTGGATGTGTTGCAGAGGCAGGAATAGAGGCCAAATTCATGACTGGGTTCTTACCTTATTCTTCCTTTTCACTCATCGCCATCTAAAGCTGAATTTGAACCAATGACCTAGATGTGAAAGGACCCATAACACATTATTAGTCCTGTAAGCAACTCAGACCCCTTGGTTTATATATGTCTAATATGTTGTTTTAATCCTATCTGAAGTGAGAGTCTTGTCACTGTAAATGGTTTGCTAAAAGGGTAATTTTTCTTAGAGGCAGAAATGAACATTTCAAACTGAATGTGTTATTAGAAAGAAATGGAATGTTACAGTGGCTTTTGTTTTTGCTTCTGATTGTGCTTTGGAAGGGAATTGCTTGGGTTATGTGTTAGATGAGGCAAGAAACCAAGGAAGCTGTTTGTCTGATGTGTGATAGAAAGTTAATCTGATGAACAAGCTGAAAAGATATTGTCAAGCTGTTTCAGGCTCAAAGCTTGTCTTCTGTAAAATTGTAATCTAGTGCATGAAAACTTGTGTCCTAAAAATGTGAGATTTTTATTGAGAACATTAAAGGCTTTAGAAAACAGCGCTGTAAAATCCCACCCCTTACGAAGCAATGTAAGAACTGTTGAGCTGTATTTGTTGGTGGTACTTGTAGGAAATAGTTATGTCCAGCTAAATTCCCAGATTTATGTATGCACGCTTCTGCTTCAAGACTGAAAACAAAATGCTTAGTCTGGTATAAATTAAAGTGCTGAATAAAATACAAAAGTTTCTGTACCTGCGGGCTGAGTCCTTGCATTCATTTGGCCTTTACATACTTGCCAGATTATCATCTGAAGGAGTTCGGTAAGACTAATAATGTTTTCCTCCTGCTCTAAAATTCTTAGGCATATAAGGCTGTCAGTTCTTCCCTAGGAAGCAAAGCTCAGTTTTTATTTGTAGCCATACTGTTCTTACGCAGTCTTCTCACAAACCCTGCCGTCACAGGCGATAGACTGGAGCATGTTGTGAATACTGCGATTTTGTCTTCATCCTTGCTTTATGAAATAGCCTCTGTTTAGCTCTTCCAGTCAAAAACAACTCTGAGAAGCCTTAAAGTTATTTTTAGATTGCAGAGATGATCAGATGAGCACAGGACTATCGCTAGGCTTCAAAATGTGGCCTGAAGAATTAATGGTTTGTTATTTAAAAATGTAAAAAGTAGTCCTTAACCCAGTTAAAGTTTTTTTTTACCAGTTAAAAAATAGATCTAAGCTACATTAGGCTAAGTGAACAATAGAAATGGAGTGCAAACGTCCACAACAAAATATTTTGTATGACTGTTAATTGATGTCTTTAAACAAGTTATCTGCGGCTGTGACTGTACTATTTTTGTTATTTTTGCAAAGTTCACAAGGTGGGATTTTACCTAGTGTAGAGGGTCATTAGAAATTAATTCTAAGCCTGTGTGTTTGAGCACTAGCTGGATGGTGAAATTTGTGTGTCTCATTTGTGTGCTGTGAAGAGACAGGACAGTGTGACCTACTTGAGGTCCCTTCTAGTCCACCAGTGCTTGTCCTATGAATACATCTGCCAGCTGCAAGCACTAACTTCCTCTGGCAGACAGCAAAGCCAAACTCCATCTTTCCTGGAGAAAGCTCAGGGGTTTGTTGGTATGAAGCAGAACAGCATCCCTCCCCAGCATGCACAAAGCATCAGGCAAAAAAGGGAATGCTGTCTTGGGCTTCTTCAGTCTCAGCTAGCACTTTCAAATATTTATTTGGAAAAGTCAGAATTATTTTGTGTTTAAAATTGTCTGTAAACTTACGCTAGCTCTGGGGAGGCCAGCGTTCAATCTTCTGTCATTTGTATTCATCAAGCGTTTTGTCATAGCATTGTATATTTTTAGTGCACGGTGTGAGCAATGAGTTTAGTCTGACCTTTTCATCTTTGTTGCTGTGATCTTGAATTCTTTTAAGCTGTTGAGCAGAAGTAGGCTTTCGTGTTGTGGAGACTGGAGAAAACTAAGCTACCATAATATCTCCCACCCACAGGATTTTCCTACTTTAGTTTAGGGAAAGGAGATTTGAAGCTGGAATCTTTGACTTCTCTGCTTTGCCCTTGGTCTCCTGTCAGATTGTGGTTAAATAATTTTATTCTTCAAGCGTCAGTTTACCGTTGTTGTTAATATGGGGATATATTTTTATTTTTTGCAACTTTTTTCCTTGCTTAGTATTTCAAGATATTTCTGTGGGAGCAGTAATGAGTTAACCTGCTGTTCATCCCAAAGACCAGTTCTGTAGTTTATTACTTCTCTTCCTTCAAATCCCTCTTTTCAGTCCTGGTGCCGAATGGAGAGAAAACACTGAAGGAATTCCCGAGAGATCACAGGCTGTTGGCTGGTCTTGGTTTGTTTATGTATTGATTTAGGTATGCAGTTATGCTTAAGCTTAGATCTGCAGGTGACTTAATAAAAAGAAAAAGGAGTATTCTGTGAGAACACAAACATACCTCTTTGTAGGAACCATGAACTTATGAATGAAGCAGCTGTTAAACAAGTTTCTAAAACATTTCCTCCTTGAAGTTTTAAAGCTAGTGCGTGCAGAATAATGCATGTCCTAGTGACGCGCTCCAGCAT